TATCAAACTCATGGTTGTTGTTGTTGTGGGGGGGGGGGGCAGACTGTGTATAAATCTACACCTATTTCAAAAAAATAAAGAGAGAAAAAGTACTTAGCTACTCTCTGTTGCCTATAGAGTTGTCGTCTGCGACTGCGTACACTGTATCTCCCTGTGAATGGTGTATTGTAGGCACAGTTTCAGTCCTTGAGAAAGCACACAATCAAAATAAAATTTAAAGTCTCTGTGGCACCTATGACACGACTTGGTTTCAGCTGGCACGGTGCCTTTCCAGCTTGCTTGCTAGTGAGCGCTCACTTTAAGTTATTTACAACTTCCGCGGTCACTGATGACACTATGAACTATCACTGTGTACACTGTATCTCCCTGTGAGTGGTGTATTATAAACACAGTTTCAGTCCTTGAGAAAGCACACAAACAAAATTAAATTTAAAGTCTCTGTGGCACCTATGACACGAATAGGCTGGCAGTTGTCCTTACCAGCTTAATTGCCACTTTGTATTCACTTTAAGTTATTTACAGTCTTCTGCAGTCACTGATGACACTATGAACTGATTTAACTAAAGGCACAGTACTACACTCCCTGGTTGGCCTTTATCACAGCCATGACCACAACACCCTAAAAAATAAAATGAAATAAAAGCTTTGTCATGTGGCAGTGATTGTGTGGTTATAGGCCTGTGACCCTGGCTGTACCTCCAACTCGGTGGAAATTGAGATTTCAAAAATACAATCGCGTCTAGCATTAAAAGTCCTACATCGATTTACACTTTCACATCACTAAGACGATCTTGATGATCTTATGTAATCACTGTCCATTTTCTGCCGCTCTACATCGAAGGCCCAAATGCCGAACACGCTTTGTTATAGAGACGCAACACGACCTGCCCGCCTGCCCGCAGTACAGTACAGATTCAGTCTGAGTGACTTCTCTCGTGTCCATACAAAACTTAAAATTACACCATATCATAATAAGTTCTTTCTGTTTAAATTAGCGAGGGACAGAGCACTCCAGCATGGAAGTTAGGTAAGGTTAAGTAGGTTTCTTTGGTTAGGTTGATGCAGTCTTCTAACAATGCTTCTGCTGCTTGTGTTTCTTACCAACTTAGAAATAACCATATTTTAACACATTTGCCCAAACTACGACAGTGTCCACTGCAAAACACATTGAAAGTGTGGCATTTTTAAATTAATTTTCTATGAAAAATCGGCGACGGGTATGTCGTCAATAATAACCCTTTTTCATATCACTAAATTATAGTATATACTGGATAAAACACACAGAAAAGAACAAATTTCAGTCCATCAACTTGTGCTAACTTAAAATGTAATCGATAGGTCAATTATTTATGGTCATGGTTGTGTAACGTTCTGTATACTTGTATAACAAAAAAATCGAAACCAAAACGAGCAATTTAAAACAAGAGGAGTTAGTTCAATAGCAGGTACTGGTATGTATAAAGTACACATTGCCTACACCAAGGAGACGAGAATTGTAAACACACCAGACCTTGCATTGACTTTAAAAGTAAACTTTACGAAGTTCCCAGAAACTAAATTATAAGTTTGAGAATTTCAAATCAAGTGAGATCATTGGTTTGTGGAATAAGGTAGTAGAAACATACACACAGCAGCATGCTAGACTAAGATTTCGGTGGCTTTATCGTTACCGTTGTTACACATCAGCAAAACCTGAAGGTGTGACTTATGTCCCAAACATTGCCGATTGCACACAGTCATGCATCTTGACAGCCAGTCGTGTTTTAGCGAGCCAGCAAAAAGAAGCGTGTACAGTGGTATGTGTATGTTGACTTCAACATGCAGACACTGAATAAATACTGTAGTCGGTCTGAGATCATGCTATACTCGCTCCAAGCGTTTTAGCATAGAACTTTCAGGGTCGGATCTAGAGGGAGGGGTTCCTAGGGGATCGAACCCCCCCTCCCATCAGAAAATTCCAATACAGGCATTTTTGTAAAGTAAAAAGTAATTACTATTGACCTCAGAATATCTTCTAATATTAAGTGCACATGGCTTCAAAATGGCTTCAAAATGCCCAGGATATTGGTCAGGTTAAAAAAAAAGGGGGGGGGGGCCAACAGCGCCCCCCCCCAACCCCCCCAGCTGGGTGGGATCGCTGTCCTCGCTATGTTCCCCCACCCACAATTTCTTGGACCCTCCTTTTGATATTCCTGGATCAGCCCCTGTTATTTTATAGCGTAAGCTAATCTATCTGACCGAACCTACACCTATCCTGCCTGAATGCTGTTAGGACTCAGGAGGTTGTGGTCGCTGACGCAGACGCCATAGGTTACAGCTGCAGGAACTTGTAACTTACGACAACGTGGAGGTGTCTTAATTTTTGTAAAGTGACAACGAGTAAGAGCGCTTGAGGTGCAGTGACCAATTTGATACAACACTTGCCCTTGCACTTGAGATAGGTGGTTGTGCCCAGGGTAGTCCCATTATACCCAACCGCGATAGGGTAATTAACATTTCAGTTAGGAAAGTGTAGACATTCGGGAGCAGTATCAGCCACACTAATCCTTATGTAACAAAAAAAGGCTTTTTATACAGTCGCCAGTAACCACATCGACCATATCTCAGCTAACTTTCACTAAGCTCTTTTTCTTGAAGGTCCCTCAGAATCTTAAATCCTATTTTCTTTGTTTCTCGAAAGATGTTTATGATTTATTTATATATATATATATATATATATATATATATATATATATATATATATATATATATATATATATATATATATATATATATATATATATATATATATATATATATGATAAAATCACACGGGAAAAGGGAAACAACGGAGCACCTTAGCTTTCGTCTTTATTGAATAAAGATGAAAGCTAAGGTGCTCCGTTGTTTCCCTTTTCCCGTGTGATTTTATCAAGATTTATCTTATCCACGTTTTCATTGTGGATCTACATGAAATATTTATATATATTATTGAGATCTATTGTTTCACCACTTATCAGCTTATCAAACATAACAGGTTTATTCTGGGTACTTTGGTATCCTCCTGCACTAACACTCGGCACTCAAACAGTGACAAGGAACAGCTGTTATTATTATCGTTTTGGTCATCCAGTGATTATTTAATTTTAATTTTAATTGTAATTTTGCCACTTACAGTGGCTAGTTTATTGTGCACCCCCATATTCATCCTGTGAGCGGTAGCGCCAAAAGGTTACTCAATAGAGTTCACAAAGGGTCAGTATAACAAACTCCCGTGGTCAGGATATTATGGCATTTAATTTTACAGAGTGTTTCAAATATATATTATTTTTAGTTCTATACATAAAGGGTAACTTATTCGCAACTGCTTGAGCACAGGAGTGTAAGGCAAAATGTCTGGCCGCAGACTGTTATTCACATTTGCGTGAGAGGTATTCAAGCATATTGTGTGTTTGATTATATACATAGTAACTGATATGGCTACGAAGTGCAAAAAGGTGGATACAAACTTGATATGTCGGCTATCTCGCTATTAGAGATAAAGTGTTGTGCCATTTCACACAGTGTGCTTGGACCTGACCCTAGAAGGTTCTATCTTCACACAGTCAAGAACGTAGTGTTCAAGTGTGTGACCATATGTCTGGCCGGTGCATACCCAGTACTTGCCAACAGTGCGTAACAGAGACGTGACCGATCGCCCAAGCGGCTAACGAGCTGATCAGTGGTGAAGAGGATAAAAGAAAAAGAAGATAAGTAGAATGAAACTTCCCTTCAGTGTTATTAATTACTTTCTGAAATACACAATTGACAATAATTTCGATACAAACATCAAATTCTCTGATGAGTGGGAATCAAAATGATCTAACTTCAGTGTTAGTTGGCAACTCATAGCATCCCTACGGATGGGTTCAGGGATTCGTCACGTCTACTGGCATACTCAACTCTTAACTTATTTGACAATTTCACTTACAGTTAATACAGTTGAAGTTTTCAACATCACTCACAAGGGATCTTGGATGTTTCAACTGTAATAAGACATATCTAATTTTACGCAAAACAATTGTGTTCTCTCTCAATTTCAAATCTCTGACCATAAAATGAGGTACTGAGAAATACCCGAGTTTCTGCGGTAATATGTAATAGAAAATGGAGAACTTAGGCCTCCTGAAACGGTTAGAGTATGGACGTCTCAACTGGGGAACACAACAGTTTCACACGTTTTGTGGGCGGTGTAGCATAATATGAATAATTAAGTATTAAACAGACTAGCCATGCTATTGTGACGATGACATTATGCTGTACATGCTGAACTGTATACTGTACCTGCATTGTCTATATACTGTACATGCTGAACTGTATACTGTACCTGCATTGTCTATATATACTGTACATGCTGAACTGTATACTGTACCTGTACTATCGATATACATGCTGAACTGTATACTGTACCTGCATTTTCTGTATACATGCTGAACTGTATATCTGTATTGTCTATGATGCTGAACAAATTTTAAGCTTATATGACGATTTGACTTAATATCTATCAATGTATCTTTCTATCATCATTAATCCCTATTGTCCACGTGCACGGCAGCTGAGGACCAGGTGAGGGGCACACTTCCTTCACCTCAAGGTTGAATGTCTAATTACCGGAAATAAACCATTAAAACATTCAATTTATGCCAACCGTTTGCGTGTTTATTTTTGTTATTCTTACATATTGTAATATTTTGTCATAATTTTTTGTATATATGTGTGTGAAATTTAAAATATACATGCATATGGTTATTATAGAAATACACTTACACGTTACATAAAAGTTGAATTTCCCGCCAAGTTCGTCTTTAGAATTGGTTTTCGATTTTCTAAGAAATAATCTGTATATTTTTTCAAAAACATTGAAGATTACTGGTTGTAATTACAGAAAAACAAACAAATAGTCCTTAACATAGGCTGAAAAGGCTGAAATATTAATAGATACTAATTTTAGTATGAGTTAAGAAATGCTATTGTTTACAAGTGTCAGTAAAGAATGGTCTAGTTCTGCTGTGATGAAAAGTTTAATTAGTCTCACTTCTCGTGGAGCCAAGTAAGGATATTATGTCTCAAGTAGTAATGACAATGATCTAAAAACTGGCGATTTTTCATTTAATTCATGTAAAATAATGGTTTGTTTAAGTGTTAATGGACCTTTGTACCTTGTTGTGCTATCCCGTCTATATCTCCACGGAAATGGCCATTTATTTCGAAGAATTTTATATTAAAATAGAAACTAATTACTTGAATAGACATACGCTCTATACATTAAGCAGTTTATGATGGTATAATGGTGTAAATTAGACAAATCTCTTTGTTAAGAAAAAAGTGTTTCTCCAACTTCTTTGTGGGTAAGTTTGTAGAAATTCCTCTTTATTTTTTACTTGTGAAAAATCATTGAGTTTTTGTGTTGGAATATGACAGGTTTATATGTTAAGGAAGTGGTGCATCCATGTACATGTTATAATCTGCTTGTGTTTTTAATTATCAGTGATGTTTTACTTAAAGTATTCACCAATAGAAAATGAAAAACACGAGCCGTCGGTTTCTACTCATTATGACTTTGTGCATCACGATGTATGTACTGAGTAGATTATTCTGTGTTTCTTGGCTTTGTTTAATAATGGTGTTTGTCGGTGTTATCAGCACATCTCTTGCCACCCAGTGTGACTCTTACCTCACACTCAATGACTAACCTATCACCAGTATCAGGATGTTTCCTTGCCGTTACCTCCAGAAATCCCCCCAAAGCCTTCTGAGAATTGATTTTTGGGGTATTATTATGTCATTAGACTTCTTGATGTAGAATACTTCCTCTATTGAAGGTTAAGTGCACTCATATACAGGTACACCCCAAGCCCCTGATACAAGAAATAATGGAGTCACATATTACATTAATGAGACCTGATTTTTTCTGGTACTGTACTGCCCTGTGTAATAGCGTACACTAATGTCATGTACAGTGGTCCCTCGGTTAATGAACACAATTCGTTCCAGAAGGTCGTTCGTTAACCGAAACCATTGTTTCAATGGGATTTTGGGTAATTGGTTCCAGCTCACCGAAAATTACATACAAACTAAAAATAAGTGCAGTAAAGTACACTTACTTTGAGGTGTGCATGTAGAAGGCTCCTGGTTGATGATGATGGGAATTAGAATGGGGGTGGAGGAGAAGGGAGAAGAGAAGGCATTGGGGTGGAAGAGAAGTCACCCCATGCTGCCATTTCACCCATAAAATTTTAGTTCACTTGGTGTAATTCAAGATTATTTTCTTTAAATCAACACTGCACTGCATTATATATTGTCAATATGTAAAATAAACTTCAGAATGACCAATAATTGTACTGTAAAAACGTAAAAATAGTTTATGTTCAAGAGAGAGTCAAGCAAGATGTTTTCTCCACTGAGCAGAGACACAAAGTGACGCCATTCTCGGGGAGTCAAGCTGCTGTTTGGCGTGCTAAAAACTAGTTCCCTGTACTTCAATTATGTTAAATAATTGTTAAAATGACTAAAAACTTTAATATAAGACTTGGAAAATTATTGAATAGTACAACCTTTTTGATATTTACTCAAATGGTAATGAATTTAAGCCGTAAAACCAATTACTGTATTGGCGGACTAATACTACAGCTGGTGAGGAGGCAAAAGCAGGCAAAAACATGTTTGGAAAATATTGTAAGGAATTCGTTAACCGATATTTTTTCGTTAACCGAAGTGAAATATCTTATGGAAGGTAATTCGTAAACCAAAATTTCGTTAATCGAGGCGTTCGTTAACCGAGGGATCACTGTACAGTATATAGATTGTGTGAAAGTTCAGGCAGGTATATGGAGATACATAGAGCATAGTTTATGGTTTAAAGTAAATTTAGTTAACTAACAATATATTTGTGTGCTCTATTTCATTCCCATATTTTATCAGTATTCAGTATTTCATGGGCAGTACTTATGTAGTATCTTTTAGAATGTTTGGTATTTTTTATAGTGCTGCAGTAGAGGAATACGGTACATTCTAAATCCTATTTGGATCGCCTGAAGATTCCCTCCCTCCAAGCTTATATCATCTAGAGATTAACCACACTTATGCTAACCTAACCTAATATAACATAACTGAATCTAACGTAACTAACCAAACCTCATCCCCCCCAAATAGTATTAGGTTGCTTAATCTTTAGGTGAAATAAGCTGGGAGGAGAATCTTCAGGTAATCCTCATGCTCTTACCTGGGAACTATACTGTACAGTATAGTATATAGATTTTGTTTGTGTTTTCAGATTTAGTTAAGTTGAACTGGCCCTTTAACCATTGATTCCTTCTGGGTTGATGGGGCTGGAACATGTAAAAATATATAGGGTTTTAGTAGCGAAACCCAATTGTCTGTTCTCTATTTATCGAGAAACTATCTCATATACAGTTCCAAGTGTATATCACCGTAACTTAATCACTGTAGCTATGAGTGCTAAGATGAGGACGGAGGCTATATTAAAGAGCTCTTCTAAATACGTCCGGTTGGTGTGAGGTGTTGAGTGACAATCCCATAATACCCGTCGAGGGAGAACGGTAATATACTGTATACGTCCTCCCTCGAGGGAAGATTGAACCATCCACGATGGCTCTCAATAACGTCTTCCTCTCGTCAAGGATATCAAACTACTGCCACAAGAGGTGGCCAGAAAGCCGGCTACTTAATGCCTTAGCTCAGCACTAAGTGACGTGACTTCCCGTGGGCACACCTTATCACGTGCTCTGAACATGCTACCTCATAGCTAGTGAAAAGTTACAGATGGTGATAGAGTATACAGTGGTCCCTCGGTTAACGAGCACAATCCGTTCCAGCAGGTTGTTCGTTAACCGAAAAATTCGTTAACCGAAACCATTGTTTCAATGGGTTTTTGGGTAATTGGTTCCAGCTCACCGAAAATTGCCTAAATTCAACAAAAATGGTAGAAAAGTTCACTTACTTTGAGGTGTGTATGTAGAAGGCTCCTGGATGATGATGATGATGATGTGCATTTGAAGTGGGAGGTGGAGGAGAAGGAAGAAGAGAAGGCATTGGGGTGGAAGAGAAGTCACCCCATGGCACCATTTCACCCATAAAATTTTAGTTCTCTTGGTGTATTTCAAAATTATTTTCTTTAAATCAACACTGCACTGCATTATATATTGTCAATATGTAAAATATATTTCAAAATGACCAATAATTTGCTTGGAAACACAGAAAAAAAGCGTTTAGTTGAAGAGAGTCTCAAGCAAGATGTTACCTCCACTGAAAACAGAGAGAGACTAACGCCTGTCTGGTGTGTTAACAGGCTGGATGGCACGCCAGAAACTAGTTCTTTACCTTCAATTATGTTCAATAATTGTTAAAATGACTAAAAAAGTTAATATTAAACTTTTAAATTTATTGAATAGTTTAAACTTCTTGATATTTACTAAAATAGTAAGGAATTTAAGCCCTAGAACCGATTAATGTATTGGCGGACTAATACTAAAGCTGGTTGACCGGCCAGTGCAAGCGAAAACATGTTGAGGTCGGTTCGTAAGAAATTCGTTAACCGAATTTAAGAATCTTATGGGAGGCAGTTCGTTAACCGAAATTTCGTTAACCGAGGCGCTCGTTAACTGAGGGACCACTGTATAAATCAAATGTAATTAACCCATTTATATAAATACTTCTGCCTATAAGACAGGGGCTATTACAAAGTCACCCTACAGATGTTGGCAAGCTTTTGAATGCCGTATTAGGATTGTTAGTAATTTTTTGTAAGATTAAAATAAAATCACATATCACTTAACCTGTATTATTATCGTTTCAGTCATCCAGTGAATTTTAGGATTTAAAGTTACCACTGTCTAAGAGAGGTTCAGGTTAGGTTGAAGTAATGTTTTTCCGGTGGTTTTTTTATGTGTTAGAACAATTCTAACCTACTTCCTAATAGGTGGATGACCAAAATGATAATTTTACCACTTAACCTATATTGGGAAGGTGGAGTAGGTGCTGTACTGCATGCCATGATTTGGGTTTGATCACTCATGATTGTAATTAGTGTAATATTTTGTTTTTATGTACAGGTATTTAATCTTAACTTTATGCATTTCTGTATTGGTTAGCCAGTTGGTATTATGGTAAATTAATTTTTCATATATCTGAATTTAGTTATGTATACTGTACTGTACTGTATTCGTGAAAGTTTAGTATAAAACTACTGAATTTTAACCACATCATCAGTCACACTTCTGAATAGATATATCGTCTCAAGGTTTCATTCTTTATCGTTCACATTTGCATTCAGTCATATTTGCTTATTCCTACAACACTACATATAATATGTCCACTACAACAAGATTTAAATGTCTGTTCATTGGTAAACTTGCCCATTATATTATTAATTTTCTTCATTTTGTTATTCACTTTCTTCACCTATTATCTTTTCATCCTTGGGCATGGTCCCTGTACTGGCTCTGCTGCTTCTAGGCTGCCTCTGGCCCATTCATACTCTTTAATTGCAGATGATCTTAGTATTTTTTCAAAGTATTCTTATATCCAATATCCTCTTTATCAACAACTACACCTCCTTAGTCATTTCTTATGCTCTGTTCTACCCACAATTTGCCTTGCTGTTCTGTATACCTCACCTCTAGCATCTGTTATTTTCAGCATATCTGCAAATGCATCCTATTCACACTTCTTAGCCTTGTAAACCCCTCCCTTCTGACCCTACACCTGGCCTCCAGGTACTACAGGTATTATCATTATCCATCTTCCAGTCCTTTTATACAGTAAACATCTTTTTTTTTCTCACTCTGTCCACTTCTTCATTCCAACACCTTGTTACTGCATGCCTGGCTAGGCCTTTTGTTCAGTCACACTAAATGGAACATCTTTTAATGTGGCTCAGCAACTTGGTAAAGTACCCCCAACACTGTCGCTGAATATTTCCACTCTTTTCAATCTGGCATAATACACTTGCTTGAATTTCCCCAGTGTCCCCAGAATAAACAGCATCTTGCATTCCCTGCTCCTATTTAATAACCTATGACTGTACATACCCTACAAACAATCTGTGCTGCAAGACACATCCTTCCCCTGCTATAACCTTTGCACCCTTAACAAGCTTCCTGTCTGATTTCCTAGCAAGAATGTAGTTTATTTTGGGATTTTGTGCCACCTGACTCATACTTGATCAGCCTACTCACCCTACTTAAAAAGTATGTTGCATACAGTATAACCATAGTCAGTGTGTCCCCAACCTTAAAAATTCTTGCACCTTCAGTGTTGCTTGTTCTAAAGCCTTTTCCACCATGCACTCCTTCCTAACTCAGTGTGTTCACCAACATGGCAGTTTAGTGAAAGGGAAATTGTATTAACTGTACTGGGCCACCACCCAGCACAGTTACTACATTTTCCCTAAGCTCCGATACTAGTACATGCAGCAACTCATCCCAGACCATGTCTTTTTCTTTCTCACTTAGCCCAACCTGTAGGGTGTATGCAGAAATAATATTTACCATATCTTACCTACCAGTAGCTTCAAAAGTAGAATTTTTGCATGAACTCTTTTTCACCACTAGCCCTTTCTGTATTTCTTCACCCACTTTTCAGCAATTAGGATCCCTACACTACCTGACCCAGAGTCACTACTCATCCAGAATTTTTTTTGCCTGTCATTGTTATCAATAATCAACCTTGCTGATCCTTCTTTCTGTCTAGTTTCTTGTACACAACAGATATCCACCTTTCTATGGCTCTGTATCTCAACAACCTCACCTGATCTTCCCCATAGCTATATCAGGTTACTCCATTTTACATTCAAGCAAATTTCTATGGTAAACAATCATAAAGTGTGTATGCAATTTATTTGTAACAGGTGCATTAATAAAAAATACATATTCATTGTACAGTAAAGCTACTGTACTAATGAATCCATTAGATACTCCTCAAAGGGCTACCCAAGGGTACACACAGAACATTATGTTTCTAAAACATTTATGGGACTTTCCTGGTAGTTAAGTCAACCTGTAACAAAAATAGAATGCCACAAGTTCATTGCAATATTTTAATATGAAATTTAGCAGAAGAAATTTTGATTGCAAGAGGAAGCAGGACACCATTCAATGCAGAAGACCTTATTGTAGTTTTCTTTTATCTCAGTAATCAAACTGAATACAGTACAGAGAAACAACTCAAGCTTACAGTATAAGTTGTGTACTGTATGTAGTTGATGTGTGTAGTGATGTCTTGATGGTTTATCCTAATGGTAGACAGGAAAAGACCTGATATATGGAACAGTACATGTATTGTACTTAAAGGTTTTTAAAGTGTTATGACATTTGTGTTTCTTGAGGGAGTGTAAGAAAAGGGAACTAAGTATAAAAAAGTATCCGGTATGTAGAGCAACACAAAATTATTGAAATGTGGTGAACTTCACACTGCTGTAATTAAGATACCTATGTATTGTACTTAATTACTTTATTTTGGATTTTAATCTGTGTACTGTATTCTACTTGTAGTAAAACACCAGCATTTGGGTGTTTTTCATCCTTTCATTGTATTGCTTAAAGATCATGTATGTGACACCATGTTTGGCAGGGGGGTTGAATTTGTTGATGATGTTGCCACTGAACTGTCTTGTAAGTTCACAGAAGATGTATATTCTGAGCTGGAAGTTAGTGGAGCTCGAGGAACAATAAGTGATGCTCTAGATAAGGCATTCCTGTTTACTGGCATGTTTCTTGTTAAGGGACTTGATTGATTGGGTGGATTCAGGTATGCATCTTCTGCAGAAGCAGTTAAACTGATGCAACCATTTGTGCACACTGCTGATGTAGACATTGCAGAAACTCTGGTCCGAATCTGTGTATACAAATTAAAGAGATGAGAAATGAAATTGTTTAAAAATCCAAGAATTTGTAATATGAAGCTACAGTAAAAGTTATTGTGGCATAAGAGTATGGCTTATGTTATAATATTTTATCATTGCAATCGTTTAAACTATCTAGATACAGTATGTGAATACTTAAGCTATTTTTATGTTGTGTTTAACTGTTCATGATTTTATGTTTTAAGGTTATTTTAAGTTACTGGTATTGTACCAGCTACAGTATTTATTTTTAGCTGGAACAATGCCTGGAGCTATTTACAATTTCATGTTTTTTGTTCTGGACTAGTACAAGTATTTGATCTTGATATTGAAATGTATGATTACTGGAGGGTATAGTTTGTAGTAAATTTGCATCATATTGTTTTAAAAGGGCAAATTGTGTAAAATAACATGAAATGAAAGAACTGCTACAAATAAGTATACTGTAGTAACATATCTTGACGTTTTCTCATCTTTGTCAGCTTACCTCTGCATGGTTGAACACATAGAATATTCCTCGCAGTAGGTTGTGAGTGTGACCGAGGAGGAAGAGGATGGCAGGTATGACAGAGGGAAGGTGATCGATCACCTCCCAGGCATATAGAAGACGCTCCACCATGAAGGGAGTCCAGCAGCAGATGTTTGCCAAGAGGATCATCACCAACTGTTATTTGTGTCAAAACCTTCTATTAGAATTTTTTATGATATGGAATACAGGATGTGATATAATATTGAAATTTGGGAGTTTTTATAATGGGAATTCTCTCTTAATTTTTTTCTTCACATTTCATCAACATTATCATCATCGGTGTTTTATGGCTGTTTTCCATACTTGCCCGGGTTAGCCCTGATTACTTGATGGTAGCTCTCTATGCTGCATGGTCTCCTGCAGCCTCTCTCATTAGGTTCTTATCTCTGAGGTAATTTCCTACAACCTCTCCCCATGTCATTCTTGGCCTACCCCTAGCTCTTCTCTTTTCCATATTCAAATTCCTACATCTGTTGACCCGGTTGGTCTCATCTATTCTTTCCACAAACCTGAACCCTCTTAACCTACTGGCATCTCTTCACAAAATCTCACCAATGCTTTCGATACCCAACTGCGCTCTTACTCTGAACAGGGTTTTATATCTCTGTCACAATACACATTCATCTCACCATTGTTATTCCAGCTTGCTCAAGCTTATGCATGTCGCTCTCTTTAAATGCCCAAGTTCATTGCTGTACAGCATTCAGCAATTAAAGCATTTAGCTAAATATTTTGTGGGTATCTATTTGTTTTAATGCATTAAATACTGTATACTGTAGTTATTTTATAACATATTACAGTACAGTACTGTACAGCATTTGATATTTCCCTTAATATTGTAAAAGCTTAAGTTAAATACTGTAATATAAGATTTTTTTTTAAAGGTAAGAGCCAGTACAGATGCAATCTTCTTGTTATACTTATACTGTACTACAGATAGAGTCAGTAATACAGTATATAGATCAGTATACTGTATACAGTAGTAATGAATAGATGGATAGACATTACTGTACTGTAGTAAGTAAAATTGTCGTGTTGTACAAATTTGCCATTGATTCATCATGTATATAGACAATGCAGGTATACATTTCAACTTGCATATACTGTACAGTACAGTGATCCCTCGGTTAACGAAATTTCGGTTAACGAATTACCTTCCATAAGATTCTTCACTTCGGTTAACGAGCAAACCCTCGGTTGACGAATTCCTTACAAATTTTTCCCAACATGTTTTCGCCTGCATTTGGCTGCCCACCAGCTGTAGTATTAGTCCGCCAATACAGTAATCGGTTTTAGGGCTTAAATTCCTTAACATTTTAGTAAATATCAAGAAGGTTGTACTATTCAATAATTTTAAAAGTTTTATATTTGTACAGTATTAAATTTTTCAAGTCATTTTAACAATTATAGAACATAATTGAAATACAGGAAGCTAGATTTATGCGTGCCAAGCAGCCACTCAACATACCAAGCTTGGCGTCAGTTTGTTTACCAGTTCAGAGGAAGGAACATCTTATTTGAGACTCTTCAACATAAATGCTTTTTTCTGTGTTTCCAGTCAAATTATTGGTCATTTTGAAATATATTTTACATATTGACAATATGTAATGCAGTGCAGTGTTGATTTAAAGAAAATAATCTTGAATTACACCAAGTGAACTAAAATTTTATGGGTGAAATGGCAACATGGGGTGACTTCTCTTCCACCCCAATGCCGTCTCTTCTCCCTTCTCCTCCACCCCCATTCTAATTCCCATCATCATCAACCAGGAGCCTTCTACATGCACACCTCAAAGTAAGTGTACTTTACTGCATTTATTTTTAGTTTGTATGTAATTTTCGGTGAGCTGGAACCAATTTCCCAAAAACCCATTGAAACAATGGTTCCGGTTAACGAATTTTTCGGTTAACGAGCAACCTTCTGGAACGAATTGTGCTCGTTAACCGAGGGACCACTGGAGTCACTGCAAGTACAGTACAGTCGGCCCTTAACATACTCGGTTTATAATACACGGATTTGCAAATACGCGGATTGCCCCGCCGGAGGAATATTCTGTACATTGAAGTAATTGAAGTACATTCAAATCGCGCGCCATTCAACTCGCGCGCGGCACCAAACACGGGACACCGCCCGCTCCCGCAACCTCACACACACACGCATAGCTCTCCCTCACTCAGTCAGTCTCGCTGTAACCACGCTTGTGTTGACATCAGCATTGTAGTTGCAAAAATATTACATTTCCGTGACTGTATTATATCTAGCACAGTATGAATAGAATATCACTAATATAAGAGTATTTTAACCGAAAACTACTAAAAAAACGAGTAACATATCTTGAACATCGGAAGGCTAGGTAAAGTCTTTTGTTTTCATGTAGTTTATCCTAATTTACATTGAAATGCATTACGTTTCAGCAAAACTACTATTTATTTCTGAGAATATGGAAATGTAATATTTTGCTGAAATGACGTACGTATTACAGTGGAAAGTGACGAAAGCAATGACTCGCTTTCTTTCGTTCAAAAGATGTTACCGTAATCGCTTTTCGAATGGTTTTCAGTTAAAAAACTGTTGTATTACAATAATATTCTATCCTAATTCACTTGTGATGCAACAGTTTATTTAACTGAAAACCATTCGAAAAGCGATTACGGTAACATCTTTTGAACGAAAGAAAGCGAAAGTCATTGTTTTCGCCACTTTCCACTGTAATACCGTATATCTCGGCCTACAAGACGGAATTTGAACAAAAAAAAATCAGCCCAAAGTTAGGGGGTCGTCTTAAGCACCAGAGATAAAATTCTTACCTCTTAAATATTGCGGTTTAGCGTGTCAAGAGTGGTGATGGAAACATGGTAAACCACTCACAAGGTCCTACCACTAATTATTTTATACTGAAACTTACGTTTGGGAAGCTGGATTAAAATGAAGATTACCGGTATATTAAAATAATAAAAATGTATTATAAACCAGTCTAACATACCGTAATAAACACAGCTGCTATCATCACCCCCCCCCCACCCCCATTTGCCAGTGACAAGAAAGGGAAAGTGACCTTGACTGTGACCGCCTGTGGCTATTTTTAGCCGTCCTTGTGTTCGGAGGTGGTCAGTAATGCATATCTGTATATTTACTGATCATAATACTTATCTCCTATAAATAATTAATTTAAAATTAATTTTTTTACAAAGAATATTCAGTAAATGACTGCGTTAATTCTTGAAACTACCGACAGTGGTAAATTTAGGATGAGAATGATTAACAGAAGTCACGTCATGGATTCGGAGTTTGGTCCTTAATGATCACCATAAATGTCTGGTCAACTTCACCTACCAGGTATAATGGTAGCCTCCCTTTTTCGCGAAACAAGTATATAAATTAAAGAAAATACTTGCAGTGTGTTTAATGTATTACAATATATTATAGCTAAATAAATAAACAAATAAATCGGCAAATCTATTTCAAGTAAATGGAAATATTTTACTCACACCAACATTAGTTCCAGTTAAATAACTGACGCTTAAGTGAGTCACTAGTGTACAACAGCCGGTAAAATTTGATGCCAATACTTGAAGTGAATTGGCATTATTTTAAATAACCAACCATAAATAAATGGAAAAAAGATCAAAGGTGAAACATTATATTGTATGTATGTTGTGTTGTCAAAGGAAGAGAAACAATTGAAACTCAGCAATTGTGTGTAAATGAGGCAGTAAGATAAATCAGCAACCTAAGACTTGGTCACAATTTTCGTGATGCCATATGGAAGTAGGGTCTACCATTAGACAATACTGTACATTATGCTTCCAATATCTTCCCAGGCAGTAGAATCTCCCTGTTTGGTAGCTGCCTAAAACTTTTAGTAATATTACTTTGATACAACATGATAAATTTGACAAACAATGAAAATAAACAAACAAAAGTTATTTACCAAGACCTTCTCTCTCAGAACAGAGGGGAGATAAGACGGCTATTTATAGCCTGTCTTTGTGTAGGAAGTCGACCACACTAGAAATAATTCATTTAAAATTTATATTTTTTACATAGAATATTCAGTACATGACTGCAATTATAAAATATTGTGTATATATATATATATATATATATATATATATATATATATATATATATATATATATATATATATATATATATATATATATATATATATATATATATATATATATATATATATATATATATATATTTGTGTAATAAATGTATGTAGTAAGTATGTACAGTAATCTTTTTCACTCAAATCCTAATGAAACACTATTGAATTAGAATACTGTAGCTCGCTGAAGCAAGCTTATAAATTAAAGAAAATACTTCCAGTGTGTTTAATATATTACAGTATGATATAAATAAACAAATAAATCGGTAAATCCATTTTAAGTAAATGAAACAATTGTATTCGACACCGACATTAGTTCAAGTTAAATAACAAACTTTTAAGTGAGTCACTAGTGTTTACACTACATCAACCGGTAACGTTTGATGCCATTACTTGAAGTGAATTGGCTTTATTTTAAAAAACCAAGGATGTGTAAACAGCACTGGTCAATGGGATGGTTGGTAAAGGACTACTGGGTCAGTAAGCTCCCAATGGTAATGTCACATTTGGGGTACCGGTCTTATACAGCGAATAGGGCTCAAAAGCTACTTTTTAAATGGAAATTTTGGGGGCCGTCTTATACACCCCGTCGCCTTGTAGGCCGAGATATATGGTACGTACGTCATTTCAGCAAAAATATTACATTTCCGTGAATGTAGTATATCAAGCACAGTATGAATATAATATCATTGTAATATAACAGTATTTTAACCGAAAACTATTAAAAAAACGAGTAACATCTCTTGAACATTGGAAGGTTAGGTAAAGTCTTTTGTTTTCGTCATGTATTTTATCCTATTTTACATTAAAATACATCACGTTTCAGCAAAACTACTATTTATTTCTGAGAATATATTCATTCAGGCACAGTTTAGGTAAAATATACATGTGCTGCAACATTTTTTTAATTGAAAACGATTCGAAAAACACGTACCCTCTAGCCCTGTTCAAGGAGTAGACTGGGAGGAGCTGTTTGGTGCTTAAGACGATGACAAGGAAAATGATTTTGATGGATTTTAA